TTTTACCAGTTTTAGTTTTTACTTGCTTTCTTCTCATTTACTTGATACAGCTGTCGTGGCTGTGACGGTTCCACCTGAAGACTGACGCTTGTGTTCCTTCCGAAACGTCGTGAATTTTTCAATTTGTTTTATTTAACTTTCATTAATTTAAATGTTTTACCTACGTGACTTTACCGAAAAAACCTAAGAATATGAATCCTTGCAGTCACGAAAGCTTCAAATCTAGAAGTCGTTGTTGTTTGTTATTCATTAGGTGTGTTTGTTCACCAATGCAGCAACAGCATCAGCGTCACCGAAGCATTTGCTCACGTAAATGTACGCACGTCGCGATTGTAGCGATGATGGTTGTACGCTGAACTTCTTTCGCGCCGTACGTAGCCAACCGTGCTAATCGGAGGCGCAGGAAAGGACAACAAAATGATTGGCACTGCCCGCGCACTTGCTCGGGATATTCGTGCTGCATGGATGGTGGATGGAGGAGGGGGGGGGAATGAACGTCTGAATTTGCATGTCCATTCTCGCCCCGACTCCAATCGTGGCCGCGCGGTCTGACGTCACGCCGGGTGATCGTGACGATTAATGTTCGAGTCTTATTCGGTATTCGCCCCGTCCCTACAGCGTAGGCGCTGTGGCGATGGAAGACGCTGATATCCATCGAAGGAAGGGCAACATCGCCCGCCGGTAGGGGAGAATTCATAATCATAATCAACGTTTTTGGGTTTAGATCGCGTTATTTATAAATGTGTCGTAACCCTCCATCACCCGACACGGCCAATCAGTAAAAAAGTGTCACGTTGACAAAAGACAAATTAGTTCACTGTTTTAGCCCACCGGTGTGTTGAAGCGCGAAACCACAACATTTACAATTTGAGTAGCACGACGTTTCGCTGGTAATTGCATCCAGCATCATCGGGCAATTCGCCAGAATGGTGAGGCTCTGCTGTGTCTCCCGTTCTTAGGGGAGAATTGTTTGGCTGCGCATAATCCCGATTGAGCAATTTGCGGATATATCTTTGAAACATTTCCAACAAATTTCGGACCATCACGCCGGCACACGATGGTCTGCTCATTTCGAAAGACGTCAATTATTTTTTTCTTTCATTGTCTTGTTGTTGTTGTTGTTCTAACCGCGAAGCAGTCGACGGACATTGGCCACTGTCAACGCGACTCACGGTGAAATAACCAGGGTGGCCGGTCAGAATCGAACCGCGCGCCGCGGCAACTCCACGGAACCTGTCCAAACTCAAGAACCGCATGAGCTCTGAGACAAAGCGACGGACGGGCCACTCTGAATGCCTCATGTGTCCCAAACCCCCCAAATGACGGGACGCATTTCGTTAATAGCAACGGCGGATCAGCGCATCTATTAATGTCCGTGCTAAGGATGCTCACGACGTAGCCTGTAATCCGGCACTGGTGTAGGCAGCAGCTGGGGGCAGAGGGGGGAGGTTAGTGGATCATCGCACAAATATTGCGGAATTGCGTTTCTCGCGTGGGCGTCGAGGGTGGAGGCCGTAGCCCTCGGCTCGCCGGAGAGAATTGGGCACATGCCCAAAAAAAAAGATGTGGACTCCACCCGTTCAGTCTGCGCACGGGATGGAGCGTTTCCCACCTCGCGCTCGCGGATTTTCTCCGGGTTCTTCCCACGTGAAATAAATAAAAACACTCGTTATTAATTGGCCGATAACTACTTAATATCTTCTTGGTTCTTTCGGTAAAGTCACGTAGAATGGAAATATTTATTTTTAATGAAACATAAAAAATATTATATTATTTTATTTTGTTTTATTTTATTATTATTTTTCTATTTTTGTATTTCCATTCTACGTGACTTTACCAAAAGAACCAAGAAGATGAATCCCTGCAGTCACGAAAGCTTTAAATCGAAACTCCTTAATATGTAGAGGACGGCAGGCCTTGGGCGATTGTTGGTAGCGCCGACTCGACGAGAGCGAGCCAATTCCTGTGCGCATCACAAGTTGACATCGTCTGCGTGTATATATACACGTACTGTAGATGCATTGACATCGGTTTCGGCTCAGTAGGACATTCCTTCTCACATTTCACGCAGTCCTCGCGTCGACATCATCATCATCACTGGAGCGTGCGTACATCGCGAATAAGCAGGGCAACATTTGAAGTTCGTCATTAAAGGTCACATGGGCTGTGCCTCACCTGCGAGCTGCCCCGGTGCAAATTAATAGCCACGGGTCCGTGACAACGGCGTGACGTCAGACCGTGCGGTCACTATTGGAGTCGGGGCGAGCGCTTCTCAAGCCGTGATGAGTTGCGCAAGCCGCGGCATGGACACCGTGCAGGAGAATAGACACGCAAATCGATTGCATTTTATTCTGTCCTGAATACTTTGGGTACTTTTTTATCTTCACCATCCCCCCACCCCCCCCCCCGTGTGTGTCATCCGGCCCTCCGTCCACTCACCCAGTGGTAGAAGTGGCGGCACCACGATTGGTCTATCGATCGGTAGGCAGGTCGACCAATCGTGGTGGGTTAAAATTGTGGGCCACCAACGCCACCACCACCACCCGGCCAGAGGCAAAGAGAAGAAAATTTGAGAGTTCAGTGCAGCGGCTGACAAGTAAAACAACAAAAATATCTTCTTGGTTCTTTCGGTAAAGTCACGTAGAATGGAAATAATAAAATAAAAAAAATAAAACATAATAAAATACAATTCTCACGACGTTTCGGCCACAACGCAAGCAGCCGTCCTCAGGTGGAGAACAGGTCTGTCGAGAAGACAGAGTCTGAACATTCAGAACATTCAGACGCTGTCTTCTCGACAGACCTGTTCTCCACCTGAGGACGGCTGGTTGCGTTGCGGCCGAAACGTCGTGAGAATTATTTTATTATGTTTTATTTTTTATTATTTTATTATTTCCATTCTACGTGACTTTACCGAAATAACCAAGAAGATGAATCCCTGCAGTCACGAAAGCTTTAAATCGAAAACAACAAAAATAGTTCTTGTTTTTTATACCTCGGTACTTCAAAAGCTGCACAATACACGCGGTGAATACGAGATGGTGGTGGTCCTCAATGCGTAAGCGTCACTAAGCGGTTCCTTAAAGAGCTGCATGCGGCTCTAGAGTCGCAGATTTGCCAACCCCTGGTTTAGTGCAAACTGCAAAGGGTGGGTGTTTTCACGAGGTATGCAAATAATAATTATTATTGTGTAGGGTATCGTATTGTAGGCGCGAGAGCCATTAGGATGTATTTTCTACACTTCCCGTCAACCCAGAAGCCCCCCCCCTCCTCAGAGCGTGCATCATTTCAGCAGCGTTGGCTCAATACAAGTGTAGTGACATAGAATTGGTCACTAAGCAGCATAGCGCTGGCTGCTGGCAGGGAAGGGGATCTGCAGCTTGAAGTAGCCCTGACTTACAGCAGGCCACGTGATAGACCCGAGAGGGACCTCGGGTAAAGGTTACAGAAGGGACACGTCGAGAGCCCCGCTAGTAGGTTCCAGAAGGGGGGCGTGGCCAGGGCGGAGCGAGGTCACGCTGGGAGGATTAAAGGTGACCCCGAACAGGAACTCGGGGCTGTCGTTTGGAGTGGGATCCCCGTCGTCATCGTTGCTGCTGAAGATCGTCACCATCGCCGCTGTCGTCTCGTGCCTTCGTCGTTGTCGTCGTCCACTTGATAATTGCGCTGCTAGACATAGTTGGCTGTCTTAGTTCAGCGCCGTCAGTGTCACATGGCTAGCGTTGTGTTGTAGGCCAGCAGCCAGTGTCGAGTTGCATATAAGCGAGAGACAGAGAGTGTGTAACAGTGTAGGGTGTGTATTGTATAAAGTGTACAAAGTGTGATCATTGGTTTTTACCCTTCTATCTGGCAACAAAACTGACACCTTTTTTACAAGGAGTCATGTTTACAAAGACCACAATACCTGCAGTCATAATGCAAAAAAAAAACATAACTCTGATAATGTGCACTGTCCTTGAAGTTGATTTGTCCACACCCGAGACAGCTTTCCTTAGAGCCTAGTCTCACATGGGTTGGACCAGAAGACGCCAGATAGAAGGGTTAAAAAAACTATTATCATATTTTTTACTGGCAAATGAGATTCCATTGGTGTAAATGCTTACCCGAGCTCTCATACTTTGATGGTGCATTGTTTTTGAGTTGTGCGCCTTTTGGCGTCTTCTGGTCCAACCCATGTGAGACTAGGCTCTAAGGAAAGCTGTCTCGGGTATGGACCAATCAACTTCAAGGACAGTGCACATTATCAGAGTTATGTTTTTTGTTTGCATTATGACTGCAGGTATTGTGGTCTATGTAAACATGACTCCTTGTAAAAAAAAAGGTGTCAGTTTTGTTGGCAGATAGAAGGGTAAAAAACCAATTATATTTTTACTGGCAAATGAGGTTCCAATGGTGTACAAAGTGTGCTCGGTGTTTAATTAAATAATTGCCTCCAAGAAGTTACGTTCCAAGTCAGTCACTACATTTGGCATCAGAAGTGTTGAAAAAAAAAATCGCGATTTTTTTTTTGTCATGTTAAAGTCAGCCAAGAAAAATAACCCACCGATCGTGTCTTCTGGAGACGTGGATGACGGTGTTTAATGAAATAATTGCAGACCTTCTTGAGATCGTTCGAGGGGATGCTGCTGCTGCTGGTGATGCATCCTCTCGCATGAAAAAAAAACCCAACGTAACAGCAGCAGAACCCTCCTGGAAAAAAACCAGAACCAAGAGTCTTACGCAACTCAGCAGTGGCTTTCCTGAATAAATAAATATAACTCCAACGATTATAACAGCACTCGCTCCCAGCGGTCTGTTAGAGGCCAAAATACGGGGGGTCATGGGGGAGGTGGAGGGTGGGGGGCGTGGTGAGGAGAGGGTGGGGGTGCTAAGAGTGTGCTGTGAGGCTTGGAGGCTGTCTATGGGTGGTACCGATTTGTGGTGTGAGCATCAAGTATAAAATGCGCCATCCCGAGTGAGCAGCGAAGAGATTCGAGACCCCCCCCCCCCCACCTCTCAAAGCGTCCTCGACAGATTCCCTCCCCCAGCTTCGGGCTCGTTCCCATCACGCCCAAGCCCCGAGCAGGCGAAACTCGGCCTGGAATTCCATTCTCGATGCGACAACTCATCAAGGTAATGAACCGGTTGCACGTCCAGCTTGGCTCGCTCGCCTCTCTCTGTGTGTGTGTGTGCCACGTACTCTTTCTGAGACGTGTGCGGTGTGGTCGTGTGCGTGTGGTCTTCCTTACACTATGGCTCTGTCCATGATGTTACTCGAAAATGTATCTGGGCAATGTTTGTCTATGGGTAATGTTAGTCTATGGGTAATGTTAGTCTATGGGTAATGTGAGTTTATGGGTAATGTTCGTCTATGGGTAATGTTCGTCTATGGGCAATGTTAGTCTATGGGTAAAGTTAGTCTATGGGTAAAGTTAGTCTATGGGTAAAGTTAGTCTATGGGTAAAGTTAGTCTATGGGTAAAGTTAGTCTATGGGTAATGTTAGTTTATGGGTAATGTTCGTCTATGGGTAAAGTTAGTCTATGGGTAAAGTTAGTCTATGGGTAAAGTTAGTCTATGGGTAAAGTTAGTCTATGGGTAAAGTTAGTCTATGGGTAAAGTTAGTCTATGGATAAAGTTAGTCTATGGGCAATGTTAGTCTATGGGAAAAGTTAGTATATGGGTAAACTTAGTCTATGGGTAAAGTTAGTCTATGACCAATGTTAGTTTATGGGTAATGTTAGTCTATGGGTAATGTTAGTCTATGGGTAAAGTTAATCTATGGGCAATGTGAGTTTTTTGGGTAATTGTTAGTCTGTGGGTAAAGTTAGTCTATGACCAATGTTAGTCTATGGGTAAAGTTATTATTTGGGCAATGTTAGTCTATGGGTCATGTGAGTCTATTGGTAATGCGAGTCTATTGGTAATGCGAGTCTATGGGTAATGTTAGTCTATGGGCAATGTGAGTCTGTGGGTAAATTTAGTCTATGAGTAATGTGAGTCTATTAGTAATGTGAGCCTATTAGTAATGTGAGTCTATCAGTAATGTGAGTCTATGGGTAATGCTAGTCTGTGGGTAATGTTAGTCTATGGGCAATGTTAGTCTATGGGTAATGTTAATGTATGGGCAATGTTAGTCTATGGGTAAGGGCAATGTTAGTCTATGGGTAATGTTAATGTATGGGCAATGTTAGTCTATGGGTAATGTTAATGTATGGGCAATGTTAGTCTATGGGTAATGTTAATGTATGGGCAATGTTAGTCTATGGGTAATGTTAATGTATGGGCAGTGTTAGTCTATGGGTAATGTTAATGTATGGGCAGTGTTAGTCTATGGGTAATGTTAATGTATGGGCAGTGTTAGTCTATGGGCAATGTGAGGCTATAGGCAATGTTAGTCTATGGGCAATGTTAGGCTATGGCAGGGTTTACCAATCTCCAGTTGTCGCGGGACCACCACCACCACCACGCTGCGTCTTTCCGCGGTTACCAATGTACTCATCCTCCACCTTCAAGTGCAAACTAACTCATCTCACGGTGCACGCGCCCGATTAATGCTAAACATTTGCCACGTGACGCGCTCAGCAATTAACGGATGCCTGGGTCAATCGAGCCGATTTGAATTAAAATTGAGATCTCGGTGTGTGAGCGCGTGTGAGTGTGTGTGCACGTGTTTCACGCGTGACACGTGTACACGCGTTCCACGCGACTCACACAGCGTTGTTACCTAGAATCCTCCCAGTCATAATCACATTTGGTTTCTCATTAAGTTTGGTTAACACGCAGGAGCAGGCTTTTGCGGCCAATATTATCCACAATGAAGTTGTTTTTTTGTGTGTGTTAGATCACGTTAATATAAATACTCTTTGGTTCTTTCGGTAAAGTCACCGACATGACCAAAAAGTATGGATGCCTACATTCAACAAAGCTTCAAATCAAGATTGTTAATATAAATGTTGGACATGAAATGATCATCCATAATAAAGGTCGTTTTTTTGTTAGATTGCGTAAATTTAAATGCGTTGTTAAACCCGCCACCACCCGACACAGCCAATTAGTAAGGTTTGTCAAGGAAACAAAATTAATTAGCACGTTTGGTTTACGCGAAAAAAAAACCTTACTAATGTGCTGTGTTGGGTGGTGGTGGGTTTAAATCGGCATTTAAATGTACGCGATCTAACAACAAAAATAACTTTATTATGGATTAATTATTATTTCATATTCTTAGGTTTTTTTCGGTAAAGTCACGTAGGTAAAAACATTAAAAAGTAAAATAAAATAACAATCACGACGTTTCGGAGGCAACACAAGCTTCCATCTTCAGGTGGTACCATCACAGCCACGACAGCTGTATCAAGTAAATGAGAGATTGCTGTGACGGTACCACCTGAAGACGGAAGCTTGTGTTGCCTCCGAAACGTCGTGATTTTTATTTTATTTTACTTTTTAATGTTTTTACCTACGTGACTTTACCGAAAAAACCTAACAATATGAATCATTGCAGTCACGAAAGCTTCAAATCTAGAATTATCATTTCATATCCAACAATGCTGCAGCCTTGCCCTTCTCTATAAATATTCCCATGAATGTGTCTTGTTGTGTACCTTGCTGCGATCCGTAACTCGTGCGTCAACTCATCTTGTGCCTGTCCGTTAAATGTATAACGTCCTTCCTTAAAAAGCCGCCGGTTCTGTTGCGTCTAATTTCCTCTGCAGGGTCTTTGTGTTATTGTCCAGCTTTCACATCGGTACACAACAGACCAAAACGGAACACTTTAGTATTCTAATGTTGTTGTGAATACAAATTTTCAATATATAACCCATTTTATGAATTATTTATATTATATATATAACATAAATAACAAAGCTCACATTCGTCAATAACACTGTGGCCTTAAAAATAATCGAATGTATAATACTTGACGTTTCAGGCAATTCTTCATAGCACACCATAAGAAGGATCATACCCCCGAAACGTCGCGTATTTTGTTGGGTTCTTTTAATACCACAGTGTTTTTGATGAATGTGTTTCTTTTCGCGTGCTATTTGTGCTTCTGTACCACTATCTTCTTGGTTCCTTCGGTAAAGTCACGTAGAAGGGAAATAATAAATATTAAAAATAAACATAATAAAATAATTCTCACGACGTTTCGGCCACAACGCAAGCAGCTGTCCTCAGGTGAAGAACAGGTCTGTCGGAATGACAGCGTCTGAATGAACACCACCAGGTTTGGCAGCGTATATTTAAGCTGGGTTGGAGGGGGAAGAGCGCCTTGACAAAATAATTTACATATCAAGAGGATATATACCACTAGTCAACGCAGCAGTATATTCTTCCCGTGGTCGCGTGGAATTTTTCTCCGGGTCCTCCGGCTTTTCCCCCCTCCACATTTAGAGTCGTCACCACGCGTTGTGGCTGTTCTACATTTCCACGCGATGATCATTAATAAGTCACTTCGTTGCGCTATCATTTGTGAGAGTCAGGTCGCTTCTGAAAAAGGGACATGGCCCGAAACGTCAAGTATTCCCATTTGATTCCTTTGAAGGTCACGGTGTTATTGGCGAATGTGAGATATTATTTTTAATCCACGTTATAAAGCAACTCGGTGCGACTTACCTGGTAAAATAAAAAAAGCAGTTTGTTAATTTAGTATACATACTCTTTGGGTTTTTCGCTAAAGTCACGTAGGTAAAAACTAAAATAAAACTAAATAAAATCACGACGTTTCGGAGGCAACACAAGCTTCCGTCTTCAGGTGGAACCGTCACAGCAAAATTGCTGTATCAAGAAACGTCGTGATTTAATTAATTTTTAATTTTCTTTTTTACCGAAAAGTGACTTTACCGAAAAAACGCAAAGAGTACGGACCCTTGCAGTCACGAAAACTTCAAATCTAGAATTTCGTACACGTTGCATATATAATGCACACCGTTGTATTTGCAACAAGTGCACTTGCATGTGCGTGTAAACATCGCCACTCGGGAGACAAAGACGGCCGGGCGTGGTGCTGGCCACCCACCTCCTCGTGTGCCGTGCCAGTTCGCATAGGGGCTCAGTAACAACACTTGCCACCCCCCCAAGGCTACAAGGGGGAGTTTGCTGTCTTTGTGTGTGGAAGCGGTAGTGCTGCGTTACGATGCGAGTTCGACTCCTGCTCACGGCCAAACATCAGCGACGATTGCCCATACCAAGATCGACTCATACGAGTATCTGGTGCGGTGTGTAAACATCGCCAGTGGAAGGACAAAGGCGGCCGGGCGTGGTGCTGGCCACCAACCCATCCCACCCCACACGTGTACTTTGCCGGACTTCATATTTGCTACTAGATAATAGTACTTGCACCAACAGTTCGTTAGGGCTATACCTGCGATGGTTGTCTTGGTGCGGTTTCAACACAAGTATGTATGCGTACGCCGTGTGTGTGTGTTCAATATTGATATATTTAAACATTTGGGCAGCAGTTTTTCGACAACTATCGAACAAAGCCGGTCACTGCATCGTGCGCTTTTTCAGATGCGCCTTCTGCGGCCGTCTGGAACGCTCTTCCTTCCGATATTAGGAAGCCACTGGAGCCATGCGCTTTTAAATAATCTCGATTTACAAACTAATTTCTTTCGAACTGCTTTTTGAGTTTAGTTTGTTGTCCTTCTGCCGCACCTCCGATAAGCTCGGTTGGCTACGTACGGTGCGAAAGAAGTTCAATATACACACGTAGACTCACACAGAGACACGTAGACTCACACAGAGACACATAGACTCACACAGAGACCCATAGACTCACATATAGACCAATATACTTACACAGAGACCCATAACTCACCCAGAGACCCATAGACTCACACAGAGACCCATAGACTCACACAGAGACCCATATACTCACACAGAGACCCATAGACTTACACAGAGACCCATAGACTCACACAGCGACCCATAGACTCACACAGAGACCCATATACTCACACAGAGACCCATAGACTCACACACGTACACGTGTGTGTGTGTGTGTATATACCTGTGCACGCACGCGAGGCTAAACGCCCCTGGGGTGCCACTCGCTAATGAGGGGGAGACGCAGAGGGAGACGCCCGAATCGTCAGACGCGGGCCAAAGGGGTGGCCGGCAGACGGGTGGCTAC